TATGGGACTATGGTATTCTAAAACCAGATGATGAATACAAATACATCCAAATTATGGTCGAAAAAGAATTAGCAACTCTGGCTCATCCAGTATTTCACGAGCTCTTATATGCTTCTCAGAAATTCATCCGTAAGGTTGAGAAGCCCTATAGTGTTAGCTTACGTGATGTCAAGCGAGCTATAACGTTGGTAAAATTCTTTTATAAATCTCTTGAAAATCGCCCGGTTTATATTAAGGGTTATAAATATCCACCATCTGGAAATCCGACCGCAAGAACGAGGTCTTATATTTTAGCGCTTAGTCTTTGTTACCATTCTCGACTATATGATCAAAAGTTACGTAGGCAATATCGTCGCGAAATGGGAGAAATATTACAAAGTCACAACGCTTTTGTGGGAGAGCATATGTTTGCTAAAGTTATTCGTGAAGAACAGGAAGATTACATTAATAGAATGCAATGTCCACCTAATACAGCAAAAAATGAAGCTTTATTAGAGAATGTTTTAGTTATGATTGTATGCATCTTAACAAGGATTCCCTTATTTTTAATCGGAGCTCCTGGGTTTGTAATAAAGTTTATTTTGACCTTCTATTTTTCTTTTACTTTTTTTTCTTACTAATTTTTTAACTCCATTTTTATAAAAAAAAGTTCATCAAAAACTTTGGCAATTCGACTTATAAACTCAAATTTACGTGGATCTGATTCGAATGATCGATACTTTAGAACTTTACCACAAGTTTTCTTGATTCCGCATCAAGGCTCTTCATCTTCGACTTCTGATGGAATATTAAAAGTATTTGATAAAGCCAATAAATATCAGGAAACAAGTTCCAAACAATTTCCTATTATTAGTGTTGTATTGCTCGATGGAGGTAACCTATTTGTTCATAATTTCTCCTTTTTTTGGTTGTTTTTCCAGTTTATATACCTATTCATTATTATTATTATTATTATTATTTAAAATTAATTATTGTTAGTCGGCTTGGCTGAAACAAATCCTTTCAATCCATTAAAAGTACTTCACTCTTTGCTCGAACCAAACTACCCAGAAAAAGGACCATCCGTGTCGGTGATTGGAATATCAAATTGGCGCTTGGATAATAGTAAAAGTAGTCGTGCATTACTTGTTCAAAGGTAATCATTTATTCTCAGAAAACTTTATGCGAAATATAAATTGTTAATCTCACGTTATTTCTTTCAGACCACAAATTGATTTAGATGATTTAATTGATACTGCTGAACGGTTATTAAGTAGTAAAGTTGTTCAAAGAGGTGCTCTAAAACCATTAGCCAAAGCATATTCGGATTATGAAAAATTCGGTCAAGATTTGCCCAATTTCCATGGTCTTCGAGATTATTATACGTTAGTCAAAAGGATTTCATTAGACGAAATGACACCAGAGAATATTCGAATGGCAATAGCTCGTAATTTTGGGGGAGCAGACAATAATGAAAAATTATACGAAGAATTCTTTGGAGATTTTCTCAAGACATTTAATAATCACAATCCATGGTTTTATAAACCAATTCCAATTGAGCATCTAATCGATTCAAATTTAGATGATTCTGATGCGCGTCATTTAATGGTTATCGGTAAAAGTGATTCGATTGTAAATTTATTAACTTATCAATTAAGAAAGAAAAGCTTGGATCCTGTTGTGATTTTAGGATCGCAATTTCCTGATGACCAGGATGAGTATTCTTATAATGTTTTGAGTAGAATTATGGTAATAATTAGATTTTCTTTGGAGAAAATTTTTTTCTATTTCTTATTTTCTGAACATAATCATTATTAGATATGCGTTGAAACCGGCAGACCATTGATTCTAACAGATTTGGAAACTATATATGGTATTTATTAATTAATATATTGACTAATTTCAATAATTTTGTAAATTATAAAAAATATTAAAAAATAAATATTTTATATTAAATAGGAAGTCTTTACGATTTATGGAATCAAAATTATATTGTATTTGGCAATAAAGAAAATGCCAAATATTTCACACGAGTTGCTCTCGGAGAATATGCTAATCCTATGCTGTATGTAATTTCTTATTGTTTCTTATTCGTATTATTAGGTCTCAAATTTCAATAAATGAATATTTATAATATCGATAGTTACGTTTCACCAAGCTTTAAATGCATTCTTGTCATGGATGAAAAGAATTTGGCTTTGGCCGATCCGGCATTCCTTAATCGATTTGAAAAACACAAAATGTCAATTCATGATACTCTTAATGACAGGCACAAATTACTTGTAGAAAATTTGAGCAATTGGGCAAGACAAATTTCAACTTTAATTGGAGTTAATCAAATAGCTCATTTATATGAAAAGTTCACGCAGAAGGATCTTTTCATCGGTTTCGATAAAGATGAAGTTATACAAAGTTTAGTATTTGATGTTACAAAGAGTAATCCAAAAGCAGAAAATGAAAAGATTTTGAAAATATGCAGGGAGAGTCTAATTGCGTTGATATCTCCAGGAGCAATTTTAAGAGCCGAATATTCAATTTTTGATCGAGATGAAATTATTAGATTAAAACATGTTTATTTTCATCAACAACATCATGATAGCCTATATGATTATTTTAACGCCGAATCATTAAAAAATTTCGAAGAAAACTTACTAATTATTAATACATTCTCTAATATTAATACGGATGTTAAAGGATGTCTACTAGGTCAATTTAGATGTCAAGTGTATAATTTATCAACCTTTAGAACCGAAGCACTACTTTCAAATCGGATAAAACATTTCTTTTTTGAATCAACTGACCAAGTGTTTTTCCTCCAATGTGTTGTAACAGCTATTGATGCTAAATGCATTAAGTTCACGAAGCACATTATTGAGAAATTTGCAAATGAATTTTTAGTCGAAAGAAGAAACTTCGAAGCAAAATACGCGTGTATAATTTTTCATATTCAACAGGGTTACAAATCAAATTCAATAATGCCTAATTTCATGTGTGGTTGGAAATATATTACTATTGAATCTTTAGAGCCACAAAAGATATCATTAATAAATCTTTTCGATGAATCCAAATCAAATTCTGGACTTTTTGACAAAATGGTTAATTCAATAAAACCATTTGAAAACATTCTAGATGATGAATTATTTTGGTGTTTATCATGTATTAAATATAAACAATTTAATGCAAGTTATCTAAGGTATGATACTACTAAAATTACGATTTAATAATTTATATATTTTAATACTCACATTTTATATTTATTTATAGTACCTTAAATAAAAGGATTTTAAGTAATTTGAATTTTATAAAATGCATAAAATCCAAGACCTTTGAGTGGATTTCAGAGAATTGTACATATTGGCATTATGAGATAGCTTTAAACAAGAAAAATTTATCAAACTTCCAGATAATTATTAAACAAACTATTACAAAAATTTTATTTTCTCTTGAAAAGTTATCAGCAACAACAACATTTTTGGATATCGAAAACAATGAATCCGAAGCAAAAGAAGCTTTGTCTGATCTATGGAGGCAATTCCTTATGGATCGTACCATTATCAATATTAATAATTTACCCGAACCGAAACCTTCTGCATATATAATGTCATCCTTGATAATCCATGATCTTGAATTTCCTTTTTCATACTATTATATAAATCAGGTTAATCGTTATAAGTATCATTATTATAACGAATTGGATATATTAAAACAAGTTCCAGAGAACGTTAACCATAATAAAGAATTATATGAAGAATTGATTGACGATCACTTGGAAGATTTTAAGAGTAATTTGATTTCTATTGATCCAAATTTTGAAAATTTACAAAAACATTCAAAATTGTATTATAATGATTTTATTAGAATAATTTTAACGAATTACACTACAAGAAGGTTAATTAATAAGGAAGAATTAGATTTTATTATGAGACAATTAATTGGAGATAAAATTGTTAATGATCCATTTCTACTTCATATTTATTGGTGGAAATATGCAAATAATATTTTGATTCAATTAAAATTAGTTGAAAATTTTCCAGACATTATTATAAAGGTCCAAAATGATTTCTTTATTCATGGTAAGCTTGATCAATATCTTTTTAGGGAATCAATAAATTTAATTCTACAAAACATATGTGATGATAAACCGTGGAAAAAAGATGTAGACATTATATTATCTCTAAGTGATAAAATAGATAATGCAAAACAATATTCAAATTTCAATTTATTGCTCATATGTAACGATTTATTAAAGATAAAATCAATTCCAGCGGAAATGGTCAAAGAAATAATTTATTTAGGAAAATCTAGGAAGCGAGAATTTATTACATCTGATATTATTAATTTAATCTTTGATAATTTAAATGATGACGATTTGATTCCAATTAGATCACTTATTATGAAACTCCTCGTTTTTCTCCCTTTAGAATCTGAGATTCGGCTAATTCTTTACAAAAGTATATTTTCACGAAATCCTTTTAAATTAATAAGTGTTATAATTAGAAAGGTTTTCAACATTGAAAAACAAAAGAATGAGCGAATATTTTTCACATTGATAATGAGTTCTGAAGAAGCTTTACAACTTTCAATTGGACTGAATACTATTAATGACATCATCAAAACCATTAACTCAGATATAATGATATTTTGTTGTGAATCAATTCAGTCAATTTTTAATGAATTTGAATTGAAAGAATTATTGACTTATTTCAAACATTCGATTGATACAATTACAAGACAAGATCTGACTTCGCAACAAATAACTACGTTACAACAGATAACTTTGGTAGCATTTCTCAAAGAATTTGTGTATAAATTCTTGAAGAATTATGTACAAGAGGATAATTCTTTGTTTAAATCATTGATAAAAGAAATTAATGATTGTATGCAAATTAATAATTCATTCATACAATCATTTCGATCTTATTTCGTATATCAAGAAGATTTTTTCGTTGATGTAAATCAACTTAAAATGTTAGAAAAGAGTTTCCCATGGTTTAAAGAGTATACATCTGAAGACCTTCCTAAAATTTGGCAATCAACGAAAAAAGCGAAATTTGAAGATTTTCGTGCTTTTTATAGTATCAATTACATGCAAAATTTGGAAGAGTATCCATTTATTTCTGTATATTTTAAGCATCATGAGAAACTAGGACTCATCAAGCATCTTCATCCAATTATTAAATTTGTAAAGATTTTAAACTTTAAACTTGAACATAGTTTAACAAGGAAAGCCGCACAAATCATGACATTTCAAGAATTTATAGAGAAAAAAACCGGGATTGACAACGAGAATGAAAATTTAAGATCATTATTTGAAGAATTTGCTTACGGTTGGAATTGTATTATTAATTATGTTGTTCAATATCAATCCAAGGAATTGCCTTTTAATAAACCGTTTATGAATCTTGAACTTCCTGTTATTTTTGGTCTAATCGAGCAAAAGGATGCTGGAATTTATTTATGTGCGATTTTAGACTTTTTGATTAAATTGCAAAATGAATTTTTGGATAATATATTAGATATTCCTGATGAATTATCACAACATAAATTGATTTCCAAATCAATTAAAGTGATTCATGCGCAAGATGATCAATTCATTGATTATGAATGGAATGATAACATATTAAAGTATAGTCAATGGAACCCAAAAATCGAACCGAATACCAATTTTATATTTGATTTACGAAAAATTGAAGAGAAACTTGCAAAAAAATTGGTTTTTGAAAAAGTTCGTTTCGAAACAGAGGATGATGATTTTTATTTAAAAAAATTTTCATTTAAGCATGAATTATTTAATAATTCACCAAGGATACTTTTTGATATAAAGAGGCTGTTAACACAAGAGCCTATTCCAGAAGATAAAAGTCAATTGATTTTTGCGATGTTTCAGCCATCAAATTCATCATTTATCTTACGGAATTCATTAAATTTATCAGAATTACATTTTCTCCTGAATTTAATACTTTGCTTTATCAAAGAATTATCAATTAAGAATAGAGATGTTCTTATTATAGACTTTGTTAACCAATGGTTAAAATTAGCGAGATATGATATAACATATATAAACATATTTAATGAATTTTCTTTAAAATATATTGTAGCATTATATGAAATAATTGAAGAGCAAGTTACTAACCTGATAATTCATGATCTTGAAGATAAATTTAAAGATTCATTAACTCAACTAATGAAGGATTCGATTGATAATTGTGTTAATTACCTTCCCGAACAAGAATCTCAACTTATTCCTGCCGAGGCACTTACCCTTTCCTTAAAAAGATTTATTTATAGATTTTTACTGGTTGAATCTAATATTGCAGACTTAAATCTGAGCATGTATTTCTTTGATTTTACTTTGGATTTGTGGACTAGTGATATCAAACAAGAATTGGTCGAAAGATTGTTTCCTACTTGTTTATTAGTATCACATGCCTATGATAGTTATATCTATATCGTTAATGAAGTGGAGGTATGTATTTCTTTTATTTAAATCATTTATTTTAATATTATTTTAAATTACTTAATTAATAAATCAATTATTATTAACAATAGAAAGCAATGGTTGATAAACAAATTAATCAAAATCTTTCAACTGTATCTTCAACTAGAAGAACTTTACAAAGAATTAAAAAAGTCAAAACGGTTACAGAATGATCCCTTTTTAACGGATTAACTGTTTTGAATTAAAAGATACATTTAATAAATTTCAAATCATCAAATTAATAAGTAAATATTTAGAAAGTATAATACTTCATTATTATTATATTATAAGTAAATGTTGATGATGTCGATCTCATAATTCAATGTGATAAATTTGTCTTAAATTTTACTGCGCATTAGTAATGCTTGAGATCATATGATACCGTTAAATTTGAAATTTAAATTTTTTAAATACCAATTTAGAGTTTTATATAATACATTTATTATATCGAAATTACATATAACAATTAGATCAAAGTTTTATTATTTATATAAATATTTTATTAATAAAAAAGATGGATTCAAATATTTTTAAGTTTTATAAAAAGAAATAATTTTTGATATATAATTTTAACAATAGCCTAAAAATTAGGAGACGTGTTCTGTGACCGATAATAATTGTCGATTTGAGAAATTTTATGGGCAAAGGTAATGTCCGGGTTTACTGCGCATCTCATCTTTTTAGGTGGGGGGCTTATAATTGGAGTACTGCGCCAGTTGGTTGTTTTGGAAATAACAAATTTATCTTCTTTTCAAATCAGATAAAAAATTACTTGGATTAAAAGAATTAAAAGATGTTCCATCAAATGAAAAACATTAAAAAAATTAATTTTTTTCTTTAAAAAGATTATATATAATGATATTGATCATGAAAAAAATTAGTAAACTAATAAAAAAAAAAAATGAAATTTTGACTTGTAATTACTTCGTAAATAAAATACTTTGTAAATATCATAAAAACTTTTTTTGTCATATATTATGAACAAAAATACTAAATCAAAAACTCTTTATATATATATGAGAAAAAGCTTTTTTAATATTAAGTGCGTCTAAACTATGAAAGAAATAAATACGAATAATTAATTGGAAGGGTCAGATCATCTTTATTGATATAGATTTAAAGAAGAATGAATTATTTAATGAGTAGAGATAAGTTTTAGGGATAAAGTATTGATTTATTTAGAGAATTGCAGCAACTCTGCCATTTAGCAGGTCAAATATACAGAATATTTGTATAAAATAAAATAATAGTAAATAAAATATGATCAATATAATAAATATAATAAATATAACTAATCTATCTAAACTAACAAATATAATATATATAACAAATATAATAAATCTGGTAGATCAGTCAAATATAACCAATATGTCATATTGGTCAGATCAACTAACCGATTTGAATCACATGATTGGCTATACTTGATCAATGCAACATGGATCACGCCTTTAATATACATATTAACTAAAATTCAATTGGTTTATGCTATAATAATAGAGAACAAAGAAAAGTTGCTGTTTGTTTCTCATGCAAAATTATAAAGGATTGCAAATTTTCACCTGTTTTAAACTAAATACCTAAAGAAATTAATGCAACTAATAATTATTAAAATAATACAAACTTTTTCAAATCTATCACAATCTAAAAAGAAGCAAAGGTAATATAATAAAATTCTAAACAAAGAGAACATAGAAGTTACTTTTCTAATAATAGAAAATATTAGCAAAATAAACCTCTAAAAAGCCACTATGAGATTTAAAGTAAATGATACTTATGTTTTAAGAAATCAGTATCTATTATAAAATATATTTACCTTGATAGTTTAAAAGATCTAAAGTATCACATTATCACACATAACACTAATAAAATATAAAAATATGTTCACCTTTAGTGATCATCATATTTTTATATATTATATTATTTATTATCTTATATTATGTTGTGACAAGTAAAAATTTAATCTAAAAAAAAATTTTGCCAATCTTAATATCAATTTAGTTTCCTTTTATAATCAATGTAGATCAATGTAAATCTAGATATCAATTTAGTTTTTAGTGTAATAGGTAACTTTATTGTCATGATTATCTCACTAATCAACCTTATTAACTTTATTTTTTAGAAACAAGTCAATTTTATTTCCATAAATATATTTAGTTTAGTTCATTTTATTAATTATTTAACATGTATAAATATTTTTGTATTTTTATCAAGTATGAATACCAATAAATGATTCTATCAATTAATTTAAACCTAAAGAAAAAGTAAGATTAATATCTCACTAGATGAGATTAATCCTTATAATATTTTATAAGGTAGAAAACTTACTTTTATTATAATATTAATAAAAAATATAATTAACCAAGTAAAAACTTATCCTTTGCAATTATTTAACCTATTTGTAAATTTATATTGTTTATTTACTTTATATGATATTGTATTGATTTGTTATATTAATTTAAGATATAGTTACTGAAACGTAATCTCTAAAATATTCAAAAGTTACTTGTATTTAAATTGAGAATAATCTTTGACAATATTATGAATCCTCACCTGTGATTCCTTGAATTTGGTCTTAAATTTATTTATTTTTAACAATTTTAATTTGAGTTACAAATCAGATATAACAATATCTCTCTGTTTTCATTTTATTATGTATTCTAGAAACTTAGAAATTTTTCACCACTAAAACATATTTGTTTTATACCCCTTTAAATATCACTGATCATATAGATTAATAAAAAACTTCAATTACTATTGGTTAATTAATACTGGTGATAAATAGCAAACTCCTTTATTTAATATTTAATTTATAGAATCAAATATATACTTTTTATTTATATTTTCTAAAATAATAATAATTAAACTTAAGAATAACTTAATTTATCACTTAAATAACTTAAATAGTTTAAATTCTTTATAAACTAATTAAATTAAATATAAATACCATAAAGACCATTTAAATTTCTTATTCATATTAACAAAATTGATCTAATCTTTTTATTGATTAAATTTCACTCTGGATTTGTATTTATTAAAATATTATATTGTTTATTAAACTTTATTATTAAATATAAAAATTAATACTTTTTTGGTAATTACTAATATTACTAATATATATTTTTAAGTTATAATTAATATTATAATTTTAACATTAAATTTTATATATTATTAAATGTATAATTTTATTAAAATTTTTGATATTGTTTTATAAATAGCTATTTAGATTTAAAATATAAATGTTATAATAAAAATAAAACTGAGAGTTTGATAATTAAATTCGTTAATTATTATTTAATAGGTGTAACTTTCATGTCTAAAACAGATTGTTAAAATAAAGTTTTATAAAAAGTGATTTTTATATATGGTATTATTAATACTTAATTCATAATTATCTGTCTTTATTAGTAATATTAACAAATGTTAAAATACATTCAAGATTATTTAATATTTTTAAATTATTTCATAATATTATTTTAAATTAGTTTATTATTTATTTATCATTTTTTAACATCAGAAGTTAAATTATTAATATTAATTTAATCTATTTATCAGTTTTATCAGATTAAATTCATTTATTGAATTTCAAACGATACTAAATGCTAAGAAGAATTTTTAAATAACCCGTACCTCCACTCCAAACTTATAAAAAATTAAACTAGTAAACGGGAACCGTTGTGAATCCGATGCATATCTTGCGTATTTTTACATAAATTACAAATAACCAATCAAAATGAAATAAATGGTTATTAATTAAAATGTTTAATGAGATTTTAATATGATAAAAGACAAAACAAAAAAGGGCATGAACGATAAATGATTAAAATTATGATCGATTGGCGTGATATCACGTGCCGGACAGAATCTCACGTGATAGGAATTTTCATTATCCATTATTTCATTATTTTGAAAAGTACATCTGAAAAAAAAAAATATATATTGAAAATTTACTATGTTATAAAAACATTATCACACATTTTACTTTCAATAAGGAATTTACATCTTTAAAATTATTGAACAATCAGATATTATTATATCTAAAATTCACGCGCAACATAATAAATTGCAATAGATATGATATGAATAATCTAATGATGCTTTATAAATATTAATATATTAAAGTTAGAAATTCTTTTAGGAGCTCGTTGAAGGTTCTCTGGTATATGACTATAATGATGAGTACCTTTAATTTATAAATATTTATCTGATATTCAATTAACTAATCATTAACTCCTGTAAATTATTTGTCGTAGAATAAAGAGATCATAGACACCAATTTCTTATAATGATTTGTATCGATACTGTAAAATAGATGTAATTAATTATACTTCTTGGTTGATTAGAACTTTTTTAATATCACCAGACAAAAGAAAATAATAATAATAATAATGTAATGCAAAGAACATATTTGTTTAATCATGAGATCTTAAAATTTTATTAACGTTAGTTCAACTTTTGTACAAATCATTAATAAATTTTCTTTCTGACAAATAAAACTGACACACTATCAAAGATATGATTTATATTCCATAATCGTAATAAGATTTCTAAAATCATCAATGATTCTAAATTTCACACCATTATCCTTGTATTTATCAATTAATTTTGTATATTCTTCATTTTCGTATTCATTGTTTGATGTAATAATAGAAAGAGCCGATCGACCTTTCCAATTCTCTAAAAATTCTTCCAAGTTATTAATTGAAAATATAAAATAATAAAAAATTCCAAATACACTTAGATTAATCGGTGCGGACCTAATTAATACATTTAATATCTCTTTTCCCGACGCCAAATGCGTTTCTTTGTTTGTCATACCTTGATATTCAAGACTGTCAACGTTAAATACCTCTAATATTAATACCTTCAACTTTTGGCAAGTTCTCAGTAAACGTTCAAGTTCAATGAAATGCTCATCTATTGTTATAAACATGAGTGAAAGATATTCAATTAAAGGACAATTTTCATGAACGATACGAATAAAACTAAGGGCATCTCCATAAATGTCATTGATAGTGAATTCAAGATTCTTGAATAAAATTTTTTTGAGACGACCTCCGCTGCTTCTAATGAACAAATTTAACTTTTTAATCTTGATATTGTCTATTTGAAGGACTTCAAGATGTTGAAATCTCAATGGATATTCAAGGTAATCTGCGAAATTTAGTTTTAATACCTTTAAATTGTAAAGTTCCAGAAGTACATTTGATAAAATATTGACAAAAAATCGAACGTTATCAAAGTTATTGTTATGTATAAAATAACTAAGGGTATCTGCCTTTTTCTTTAAAGCTCCAAAAATTTTCATATAACAATCGTTTGTATAGTATTCACCTAAAGTTTCTTCCCACTCAAAATATTTTAAATTTCTCTGAGCTTCAATTAAACTAACAAGTCCCTCATTTTCTTGCATGCTTGTATTAAGAATAATCAGCCTTTGTATATTTTGACAAATACGTGCTATTGTATATAAGTATAAGGATTCTATGGAAGTATTACATTTTAATTCACACAACGATTCGAGACGATTCGTTGCTTCTGGAAGTAAAAATATCTGGAGTTTAAGTGATCTCATATCCAAATATTGTAACGTTGAGCATTTCCTCATAAGAAGAACGTAAATTTCTTGTTGAAAATGATATTGATCACTGGCTGAAGAAGAGTAGATAGAAACCAACTTGTTTATTACATTTGCATTGATACTCTTGCAAAATGACAGATAATCAAATAAAAGTGGACGGTGTGGGATTTTGTTAATATTGTCGGAAGAAAACAAGGTAAAAATGTAATGCAATGAACTTTTATTTGGATAATAATGATTGAAATCTTTAATTATAGAGCACCATGGATCCTTCCATAAGATCGGAACCGCAACCTCACACCAAAGTCTATTGACTAATAGGCATGAAAAGAGGGATTTTGAATCACCTTGTAATTCTTCAAATATCAAATAAAGGATATCTTTACTAAGTTTAGACATTTTTTAAGGGAAAAAAAAATATAACGGAAAAAATAATATTGGTTTGTCCGCAGTATTTGACACAATATTGGAAAGAGAAAGTTGATCCCTTAAAAAACTCTCATTTATATAATTGTTTGCGTTCTCATCACGTGATGTCAAGCAATTCATGCATAAAAGTGAAATTCGTCACCTGATTTTATACAACCGATATTTTTTTTGACATTTGTGATAATACTAAATCACGCGAGAAATTAGTATATGGGAAAATAATGTTTCAACATTAGCATGATACGAGATAACCTTTAATAAGAGCCTCAGATTCTGTGTATTTCAGTTACATACGGTAGTTTGTGATACTTATTGTAGTTGCTGCTTTGATTCTGAAACTTTCTTTTTTTGTGTCCTTTAACTACAAAATTATATAAATTTGTATACACGTGATTTTATAAATTTCGTCGAACTTTCTTTGATTAATGCTGCATTAAATCATAGAAGTATTACATTACATAGTATTTTAATAAACATAAATTTCATATACCAATGTCAAGGAGTTTCAAATTATTTATCACTGTAAAGGATTAGTAAAGATCGGCCTCTCAACTCTAAATTTGGGACTAATCCAATATTCATAATCCTTCTCGTTCTTATTATCACCAAACAATTTTAACGCTTTAATCCTAATAAAATATTCCCCGTTAGGAGCTAGAGTACCTGTATCATTTTGATTATAAATTATTCCATCCCATGTAACCAAGTTGTTCGATTTTTCTGTCGGATTTTTCACAACTTTAATTCCAGTAAAGTCCTTAACCCATCCTAAAAATGTTTGATTTGCGTCAAGTATTTCGGTAAAAATCATTTCTGTTGGAGTTGCAAGATTAAGAAACACGGTTGGTTTATCAATTAGTAATCTAATACTCATATTAAAGGAAAATGATTTAACCGAATCATTATTTGTGATGTAATTTTCAGCCAAATCAGCAAGCTTAGGAAATATTGGAGTTTGAAATATTGGAAGAGATTTTGCATCATCAGCTAATCCGGCTACATAATATGTATGATAAAGAATTTTTATTATAGTATTTACTAAAATATTAAATAATTATTTAGCAAAAAAATGATTTACCATAAGGAACGGTCATTGAAGTCAACCTCTCGTCCAAAGGAGTAATTATTACCCATCCACTATAAAACCAATGTCCATCTTTAGGTAGTTCTCTTGGTGGAGTAAAAGTAATAGAAATTCCAACACTTGATCCAGGCGGTACGGTAATTTGATCATTATCAAATCTAACATCAGCATGTTGATTTGTTAAAAATTTCAACTCATAAAAATTACTTATGAGAGTATTGTTATATCCATCAACGCATGGAGCTGGCAAATGTGACAATTTATATTTCATCCCACTTGTTCCAAAATTATAAACAGTTAATTTATGATAACCGTTAAAATGAACCGTATCATTCAAATTAATTTTGGGTGGGTAAACAAAGCTAGTTGCTATCAAAGCATTAAAGGCGTTAACAAGTCCTGCTCCCTGATGAAGTACCGATGCCAATAATTTATTACGACTTTTAAGAGGAACGGCATTATTCATGAGTGCGGTTTTGATTAGTTCGGGAGACTTTCGTTTTCCGAATACTTCATAAAATAATGCTGTTACGCCTGTTATATACGGTGCAGCCATACTTGTTCCGGTCTTTAACACGTAAGGTCCTAAATTAACTGGAAAAGCCGATAAAATCAATCCTCCAGGTGCACAAACCTCGGGCTATTAAAAGTTTCTTAAATAGTAAATAATTTACACTAATTTGAAAATTTATATAATAATTGATATGTTTTTCACCTTGATATCCAACTCATGAGATAAACCCCAACTTGTGAATACAGAAGGAGTTGCAGCAAATGGATGATTTTCCATATATCCGTACTTATCAGAAAAATCCAATTCTAAATTTGGGTATTCTTCAAGATATTTAATTATGATATCGGCTTGTTTTGAAGAAATCATCGCTCCGTATTCCGCTGGTAAATATGGTAATTCAAAATATTGAAGTCCATCAAACTTCAAGGATGCTAATACTGCGAGTGGTTTTATTTTAGCAAGCTAGAAAAAGTTTATTTAAAAATTGCTTGAATTTATTTTTTAAAAGATATGATATATGTATATATATTATTTTTTAAAAAAAACAAAATTAAGCATAATATATTATACATACACGAATTGTTAATTCTGGACATTTCAGTTCAGTTCTAAGGTCAACAATAATTACTGTATTATCAAATTCTTTATAATCATTCAAACATTTATCCATTGGAAATAAACTAACTTTGGCATTTTTAAAAGGAAATGCCGATACATTATTTGTAATATAATCTGTATAAATTTAATTCAGCTTTAACTTTTCTTTTTTTTAAAAAAAAAAACATAGAAATACATATATATAATGTACTTACTAATAACAAATTCTGGATTTCTCGGATCAAAAGCATTAAAATTCAAAACTTTATTTGTTTCAAATGAGCCAATTCCAATAGTATTTTCTGCCGTCGCTGGTAATCCACCAGTAAATAATCCACTCATACCATTATTCCCTAATGCAACTATGAATATTATTCCTTTATATTTAGTCAGTTCATTAACCAATGTTGCAAGCATGTTTTTATTGTTGCCAGCAATTCCCTGTAAAAATTAATAAATTTAATTGTTTTTATGTTATGATAATCATATTTATTATTATACTTACCAATGACAAATTTATGATATTCATTCCATCATCAACGGCCCTTATAATGGCTTTCATTATGATAATTTCTTCAGCATTATTTGCACATTCGTTATTTTCACATGCAATGCAAGGATATATTCTATATGCACCAAAGATAACGTCAGGAGCTACGCCTACAAATCCAGGTCCGTCATCCCTTGGATCCATCCCCCCAGCAATTGCTGCCACGTGAGTTCCATGTCCGTTGCAATTATCGTACGGGTCGTCAGTATTATTAACAAAATTATATCCAAATGCTACTCTGCATCCTGGTCCAAAGCATCCTCCGAGAGCAGGATGGGTATAATCAATGCCTAGCAATAATTATAAGAAATCATTAATATAAAAAAATAAATAGAATTTTCAATGGTTGAATAGTAAAAATCTTAAAATACCGGAATCAATGAATCCAACTTTAACACCTTTTCCCGTGAGTTTTAATTCCTCATGAACTTTTTTAACGCCAGTAACTTCATGAACAGAATTGATATCATTGTTAGAAGCGATTAAAATTGTTTGATTATAAGATTCAGCACGTTTTTTAATATCAAAGTTGATTGGATTAATTCGTCTATATATTTCCTAAAATGTAAACGAACCTAAATTTTAGTAAATGGATCGTAAAGTATTTTAGCGCAACCGCACGAATATCGTTCTTACCACAGGTTCAACGCTCTCAACATGCTCAATTTCAGCGATTCTCTTTACATGTCGTTTATCGATTTCAATACTTAATCCATTTGCATATCGTTTGAATACATCTTTAATTTTAACATGAATTCCACGTTTAAATAACTCTTTATGAAAATTATCATGTTGAGCTTCAATATGGTCTCGTGATGATGTGAAAGGTGAAGAAGTAAATTTAACATAAAATGTATTTGCGTTGATTACGTCAGCAAAAATCCGATCGATAATTAATAAAAGAAATGTAAGATTAAGAATAAAATGTTGGTGAACTTTGAACATCATTTTTTGAGTTTATTTAATTCTCAACGTATTACCTTCTTCTTTCTTTTTTTATATATATTCTGACAAAATTTTAGGCCCTTTTTTTCGTCCCCACTGATGCTATTAATAGGATTAATAAGATATAAATAACAACTGCACTTGAGCGTTTTTTATCTTTTTCATAGAGAATATTAATTCACAAATACAAATTCTTACAATGAGTGATCCAGTTATAGGAATTTTCAACTCTATTCGATGAATATACGCGAAAAATAGAATTAATAACAATATACTAACTAGACTTCAAATTCGGCTAGTCCCTGCTGATTAATTTTTCGTGTCACAATAATAAGATCTCAGATGATGTAATATTAAAAATCACCAAAAAAAGGGTGGACCCGTAACTTTTCTTTTCGATTTTGGGCAAAAACGGTTACAGAATGATCATATATTTATATCTCATGATTATTATTGTGAATTCTGTCATGAATGTTATTATGAACTTTGGGGAAAAAAATAATAAAAATAATAAATCAATCTTTATTCACATGCAATCGACATGAAATTTTATCCACTTACAAAGCAATTACACTAGAAATACCCTTCAAGATATTTATTAAAACTTTTCGAGTTTTTAAATTAAAAGAGCTTTGTGAATTATTCTCAATGAGATATATCAATTTTTTGAGAAGCTTCTAAAATTTTAATCCAAAGTTGAAAGATGCTATACATTCAATTAATTATTTAAAAAAAATAAACGCGTCTAGAATCCTAAACAATTTTGCAGAAAGGTAAGAAAAAAAAATAAAGGTAAGACGAAAAAATATAAAAGGATCGGCACTAACACATGTCTGTTCTGTAAATGCGATTGAATAATCACTGCACAAAACTTGATATATTACGTAGTATATAACAAATATAAATATCTCATAAATTCATTTGAGAAATCGACTATTTTTAAGTCACGATCTAACGATTTATGTGAACAAAATGGGCGAAACCAAAGGCTAAAAAATGATAATCTATTTATCACAGAAAAATCTTTGTAGTCTCACGGGAATTTGATCCATTCGAAACTCCATTTATTATTATGACGAATGTAATGTAACCCAAATGATTATTTTCAGTTTAAGATTTATTTCTAAAAGGAGAAAAAAATTTGATTAATATTACAGAAGTTCATAATCATTTGATCATTTAACGTCGAAAGACTTTTTAAATGCATGTATTTAGACTTTCTACTAGTTTTTCTTGCAGTACATTTTTTTTATAATTAAAGATTAGATTAATAATGCCCATTTATACAGATTTCAACTAAATTAAAAAAAAAAAATCCATGTCAACCATATATCTGATTTAGTTTGGGAAATTGATCCAATCGAAAATTCCCGAGGAATAAAATGCTTTTATTCAATTTTAAAAAAAAAATATGAATTAATAATACATTATATAAATACTTTTGCTTTCTAAAGTAGCCCTCTCCTGATCAATGTATGAAATCTATTTGCAAATTCCGCAAATTACACGTGATCATAATCTGCGCATTGCGCAACCTCAGTTTTTACCGCAAGTTTTGCAAATTGCGCGCAAATACTTTCTCCCCTAAAAAAGTCTATTTCTCATATTTTATTAAAAAATGAATATTATTTTCAAAGTGCACACAAATTAAAAGGAAAGCTGCAAAAAGATTACCTTGTCATATAAAACTGAAATGCATATTTCTATTTCAAAATTAAAAAAAAATAAATAAATCAAATATAATTACTAGCTTTGTAACACAATTGGATAGAAAAATCAAAAATTATCTTTATTAATGAGAAATGCATACTTTTGTTCAAAAAAATTTAGCACTTAATCCTACCTATACAGTCAAACCTATATGTAATGATATTATAATTAGTGCTCCGTAAGGGTCGGGTCGGGTCGGGTTTGAAGCAAACTCGAACTCGAACCCGTTAATATTTACAAGACCCG